CGCCAGGAGATCTGTTATCAAGGTTAGTTGATGAACAGAAAACAAAAAATATTACCCAAGATTAGCCCAACTCTGACGTATTTCAAGTGAACGTATTCGAAACATTCTTATCAGCACATCTTTTTCAACTAGACGTTTTTTCATCGTTATTTGATCTAATAAATTTCGTTCGCCACCATAAAATGCTGCTATTATACTTGTATCGTGCCCGGTCCAATCAATCAATGGATCATAAACAAATGCTTCTAACAAGTTTAACAACGTTTCTTTACCCAAACGAAGTATACGCAAAACATTTTCAGATGAAACAAAAAAAACACCCTAGAAACAAACAAAAAATTCGTTTATTTTAGTTATTTTGTTTCATTTTATTCTTACTTCAAGTCCAGCAATACCAAGTGCATGTTGAAGATTTTGTGTCATACGATATGGAACTTTTTCTGGTACACGAAGTTTCTTTCCTTTTTCAAAACAAACATTATAATCGATATGAATTATCTAAAATTATTGATGATATATCTCTAGTACTCTGAAATATGACTTTCTCATACAAACCTGGCCAGTTTTTAAATCAACCAACACATTATCTAAATGACGATCACCAAGTCCAATAATGTAGCCAATCATTGATGTAACAGCAAGAGAACGACTAAAAAAAACAATAGATAATTTTAATTGATATTCATCTAAAACAGTATCTGTTTTACCTGTATGTCTGAACAGTTTTATACCAGAGACCAACGCTTGGACAACTACACCAAAGTTCTCTATTTAAAAAAATAGATGACTAAATGAAAAATATCCATATGTTTTCTGTTCATCAACTAACCTTGATAACAGATCTCCTGGCGTTTCTCGTATTAATTCTTCTAGACACTGTCTTATTACAGGTAATGCTACCTCTCTTCTATCATCAACAGCTTGTTTACCCTTAAATTTAAAAAACATATTTTGATAGAGAAAGACGATCTGTATTTCTTGTATCTATAGTAATCAACATATATCGTTATACTGAAACAATAGATGTATTTATGAGTCAAAAAGGATTGTAACGTTAAAGTACCTTTTCTTTTAACAATGCATTTAGTTTATTATAGTAAACATCATTGGGTTTTTGTACAGGATTTATATTTGGATCGTGATTTTCACTCTAAAAAGAAAATAAACAATAGAAAATCACAGAATTTCTCATAAAAATATAGTTTTACTTGTGCTTTCATTGTTTGTGCCATTGCTTGTCTCTGTTGCCATCGTTTATACAGTGTAAATAATGGTATAGCTCCCTCAACCCACTGTATTAGACCACTTCGTGATGCTAATGGAATAACCTAAAATATTGTCAGATCAGAATTAAAAAAATGAAACTTATCTTTCGAAGATTTCTTACAGCGTAATTTCTCGCTTCATATGTCCATGGCTCTGTTCGGTTCATTTTTGTAAACATAACATTAATTGTTGATAATAATTGCATAATACGTTCATCTAAGTGTAAATCTTCAAGTCCTTTAAGTAAGTATTGATAACGTCGTCCATTTGAACCGACAAACATTAATTTTTTTGGACGTGTTTTTGTTGGTAAAACTTGCACAGTTTGACCAACACTCATTATTGTATAAAACTAGAATTAATAAAATTATTAGCCGTATATCTCAATTTATAATTTTATTACCTGTCCATCATCGCCCGGAATTGGTATAACACTATTTTTAATATTGGACAATTTTGGACTTATTTGATTCATCGAATAAACAACAGCCGATCGCTTTCCCGAACGATGGAGTAGTGTATATAACTGAAAAATTCGATAAATAACATAAAAAACAAATATTTATAGTGATTATGCTTATACCTGACGAAAACCGAGCCAACACCCATGAGGATTTGTTAAACTGATTGGTTGTTTCATTTGTTCAATAGCTCCATCGATTTGTTTACAATATTCATTTTGAAAAAATTCTTCACGTGGTGTTTCTGTTGTTGATTTCGTTATTTGATTGATTGTTTCTAATACAGTTAAAAACTAAAAATTGAAAAATCTTATTCTAAACTTTTCAACTCTCCTATTGAATGGTTAGTTACCGATTTAAATACAACATCTTGTTTTTCTTTAATTATAAATTCTTTTTCATCTTTTGTCAAATGACTCATCGTTTCTAAACGTTGTAATTCATCCTTAAGATTATCAACGCGTCTAAAAACAAAGAATAAACGTTGAACATGGAAATTTTATACTCTTTCTAGAAAAAAGTGAACCTAAGAATATTACACATGATATTATGTAACAAACCTTCCAATTTCTTCTTGCAATTGTGTAAGTGTACCAAGCCAAAGCTCTTCCCATAAAACGGTAATACGTCTTAACTCATAAACAAATAATTTTACTTGCGAAACAACGTGTGAATTTGTTTCCGATAATATATCAAATAATAAACGAAAACTATTGTCCATAGCCAGAGTTCCTTCTCCTTCTTGAATATTCTCATCAGTAACATTATCAGAATTATCGTCATCTGATCCACCATCATCACCTCCACGAGAAGTGAGAGTTGATGTTGCAGGACCAAACACTTCAAACAAAAGAATAGATGTTAACTTTCTGACAATAAGACCTTTTTTGTTTTGACCTTCTTACTCGTTTTTGTCGTTGTTTTTGATCTTCCGCCATCTGTTGTACCGACGACAACCGGATATAAAAGTAGTTGTGGAAAATCTTTTGCTATTCGACAAAGTAAATTTGTTACACAATCACGTACAATTGAATCAGCATGATTTAACCTTTTAAAAGATAGAAATTTTTTTAATACCAACATAAATAAAAGTTTCACAAAATTGACCTACCTTGAAAATAATTGTGGAATAATACGTTTCCATGACACTGTTGGCATATTTTTTAAACCATTTTCAAAAGTTTCTTTCATTTGTTGTGGATAACGTACGAGAACACGTAATAATCGTAATGTAACAAGGACATTTGATGCATCATCATCATAGACAATACGTATTGGTTTTATTGTTGTACTATTTGCATCGTCAGTATAATTACTCAATTTCAGATAGGTAAAATAGGAGCGACAAGCTTGATCCAATAGAAAATATCTTCTTTTGTCGTAGAATGGATGAAACGAGATAATTTTATCCAGTAAATCTTTACGTTTCGTTAATAATGAGCACGCTTTACTGAGCGATGTTCTTTGAGACTCCAATAATGTTTGTTCATCAGTAGTCTAAAACAGTGAATGAAACGATTATATTCATTTTCTTTGTTTTTTGTGATTTTTGTTACCGTTTCTAAATCATCATCTTCGTTTACACTACTCGAAGTTATAATACGATATATTTCATTCACTTCTTCTGTAGGCAGCTCCTTTAAAAAAAATTAATGACAATAGACTTTGTAACAAACACTCCTCTTAAGTATATACCTGTGGCAGAACTTTTTGTATTTTCTGTCTTATTTCAACTTGAGAAAGTCTAAAAATAGCAAAAAATGTATATGACAAAAAAGAAGTGAGAACAATTTTGTTACTGTGTTTGACTAGTCAATAATTGTTTTCCCCATGTATAACAAAAGTCAGCAAATGAAAACCAAGATTTAGCCAATGAAGGACACATTGTTGTTGAAAAATCGAGCAATTCACCCATTAACAACTGATCTGATGGAATATTTGATCGCACGTACGGTTCTAAAATAAAAGCCATAATAAAAATAATAGTTTTATCATTACAACCGTGAAATCTTAAAATTATCAAATAAAGTATAAACGGTATGTTTTCAATTTAAACAGTGTCACAATAAACCTTGAAAATTTCTAAGAATTAGATATAGATAACGGATTTTACCGCTTGCAATATCGGTTCCAAATCCAGTTAGTAAATATTGTTTTCTTAAATGAAATAATTTTCCAGTTGTCGTCGAGTTTTGTATGTATGATGTTGTATTACTGTTGTTTACATCATTTGAACTACGAAGCCATTTGACAATATGTAATAAATTTCTTGAACATTTTTCTAAACACGTTGACGATCGTTGTTTCTCACTTGTCATATAACGAAGAATACACCGTGAGAGAAATTCAATGGCTGATGTAATATTTAAATTGTTGTTATTATTATTATTAGTGTTATTTGTTATTTTATTTACTGCCATTGAATACATGAGTTTAGCTGTTTCTGTTTCAAGTTCAATTGTGGCTACATTCGGTTGACGCTCAAGTAAATTAACAATAGTATGTAAAGAATAATTATCAAATGAATAATTTGCTGATGATTGTTGATCTGATAAAAATTGTTGTATAAGAAGTTTGGATGATAGAGTAAAGTTATCTTGTTGTCGTGCAAGACGCGCAGCACTCAAGCGAAGTTCAGACCAGTTTGTATTTGCTGATGATGAAGCTGAAAAAACACGTAAATATTGATGAAAATTAGAATTAAAAAAGAATCGAAAATTGAGATGTACCAGGATTACCAAAATATGGTTGACTATACAATAGTATTGAATTGAGTGCTTTTACACTATGTTGAATGGGAGCAAACTTAGATGAGGACAAGAATGGAAGATCACGATGTTCACTTTGATATAAAGCGGCAATTTGTCCTATGGCAGCGCGTTCATCTGACCATGATGCATGTTCATCGACAGTATGTACACGTGTTAATTCTTGCGTTAACTGTAACAGAGTATTCAGTGACCAAAGACCAGAACTAGAAAAAAATAAAAACAATCTGATACAATTTTTGGAAAAAGATTAAAATATTTACCGTCGCTTTGCAATCGCTTTTAATGTTTCGATTGGTGCAAGCATGTCATACGCATCCATATCCCAACCACAAGGCACTGAACGCGCTAATTCATCAGCCGATGATTGAACAAATGGTAATTTACGCATAGCCATTTTCATCCCTTCAAAATCACGATTTTCGAAACATCCCATTGCTCTATAAATATTTTTAATTTATCAAAATTAAATAAATAATAATAAACTATCTTTTAGTATTTACTTCACAGCATTCATATCAATATTTGTTTCCATCGCTGTTTTTAAATCTTCATTTTCATCTTGTAATAATCCATTTTGCATTTTTATACATGTTTCATTCCATAACATTACTTCGCTCCATTGATGAAGACTAATATAACATTCATACACCTAAATATAAACAAAAATTTCTTTTAATATCTAATTCAATCTTTATTTACAAAATCTATATATACTTTTTGTGTTAGAAATTTCAATAATGCCGAAGAGATGGTTGTTGTTGTTGTTGTTGTGTCGTTTGTTTTTTCTCCAGTTGAATTTTCCGATGATGATTTAGATAAATTTTCAAAGTGCTCTTTCAATAGACGTCTATATTCATTTGCTGCTTTCTCTAAACTTCCAGCTGCTTCATATTCAGCTGCTTTAATCCATTGCCAACGTAATTGATGAGTATTCTTTAACCAAACATATATACCATTTAAAGCCATTGAATTATGTAATTTAATTAACGATTGAACGAACGATATCACAACAAATTCAAATTCAGATGTCTAAGAAAGTAAATATTTTGACTATAAAGAGAATAAAATATTCTTAACATTTTATTTACTTCAGCTTGTCCTAATGTGCATATATGTGTGATATATTGCCAACAATTTCTTACAGCTGCTTCATACTGGCCACTTCGAACAGCTGTTAGAATAATTGGAATGCGAATACGATTGAGCCATTCAAAACAAGTGGATTTATTTGTCATAAAGAAAAATTTTATAGGCTAAAAGATCAGAAAAAAAACAAGAATTATTATCTATTGAGAATTATTTTTTAAACTCACCTTTGGCAATTGTGGGAGGGATAATGCAGTTCCTATATAACAAAAAAGAAGTAAAATCAATATTGATAATTGTAGATTTTTAATTACCTTCATAAGCATTGTATATGCATTTCTCTAAACATTCAATCAATTGTAAAAGTAGACCACAACGATGTAAATCACACCACCATTCAGGTTTTTCAATATTAGCTTCATTTGAATTTGACGATGTGGATGGTACATGATCAGACGATGAAGATAAAGTATCAGTTTTAGTAACTGGCCATGCAAATGCTCGTAATGTTTCTAAAAATATGAAGATTTATATAGAGATAATTAACCATTTTGTATCCATGTTGTGTTACCTTCGAGTGCTAAAAATGTTTCTTGTGGTTTGCCTAACGATGTTTTAAGTTTATTCATAACACAATATTGCGCACATTCCCATATTGCCCAAAACCATAATAATGCATCATTACCAAAATTTGGTATTTGTTCATAGGCAAGTGCACGTTGATGTTGTTTATATTTTGTAGTATCTGTCCATTTTCGTTGACATGATTGAAATAAACGATCGAGCCATGTATTAGCATACATACGTCTGAAAAGAATGGCTATTTATAGTTCGGTAAATAACATATAAATAAATTAACATACGGCATTTGATGACCAATTAAAATGTAGCCAATCGTTAAATTAAAACAATGTACAGTAAATGTTCCAGAATAACTTGTTGCCATATGATTACGTTTAACAATACTAGCAAAACCTGAATAATCATTTTTCGATATTATGGCACCACTAATAGGAAATTTACTAGAATAAAATTGAAAATATAACAGTGGAGAACATGATTATCATACAAGAAACCTACCTAACATTGATATTAACAGGTAAACAGCATAAAATGGCAAAATAATTGTCACGTATCGATGGTTCATTACACTGTAACCAAAATCGACAAAGATCAAATAATCTATTTAAAAAAAATCAAACAAATATGCACAGATAAAAAGAATAATTATGAAATCCGATAACAATACCTGACTAATAATGTTGCTTCAAGATCGCTATGGCGTCTAAGAATTTTGGTTAGTAAACGACAACACAAAGCGCATATTTCTTCTTCGTCCGAATAAGCTAAAATGGAAAAATATTATACAAACGTCAATAATTAGTCAAAACATATTCTATTCTTTTACCGGTATCGACAATTGAATGACAAATTTTCAGTAATAAGGGTAATGAAAATAAACCACGATCATCTTGTGGTAGAGAATCAATTATTTCTGCTAACCAATTCAATACGAGTTTGCTGTGAACAGAAAAAAAGAAAATCGTAGAAATGAGAGATTTTTGAGTTATAATGTCATACTTTGTATCATGACAACTTGTATGACTGTTCACAATTAGACGATGGTGTAATTTAAGTATATCTTCAAGATGATCTTTTGTTGAACTACTCAATGACATCATCATACGATCACTTGTCGAATTACTATTAAATAAATCTGAACTAAGAATAAAATGTTCATGTCTAAAATAACAATAAAAATAATATATAGGTTAATTAGAAAGAGTAACTGATTAATTTACTTACGCTACACAATGTGAATATAATGTTTTTAATACAGCAAAATGTGATGCTGGAAATTGACGAGCTAATTTAGAATTTGTCAGTTGTAAATGTCTGGACAATAATTCGAATAAGGATGGAGAAAGTGCATACATCTAGTAAACGTAAAGGAAACAAATATTTCTATTAACAAATAGAAGATTGTATAAACTTACGCCAATCAAATTGCCTTTGGCATTACCGATTTGACATAATGCACTACAATCAAATATAATTGCAGCTTCAGCATTATCTTCCGTTACATCAATCATTGTTTCATCTGTAGAGCTGCTACCACCACTACCACCTCCAATATTAATCGTTTTCTGTTTGAGTGTTGGTAATATCACATTAAAATTTTGTGTTATATCAGCTAAGATTGACTGATAAACTTGTAGTACAACGGGAATATTTTTCATTGATAATAAACGATTAAATAATTGAAGAGCATCTTGTATTAACTAAAAAGAAGTAATGGGCGTAGAGAAAAGTGAGAGGATATTACTATTGGTAAACTTACGGATGTGGCATGAAGAAAACGATAAATCCATAGACGAGAATTTCTATGTAAAATTGAATTTGCAAAAGAGATCGGTACATGTTCTCTAGTGAAATCGATTATCTAGTACAAATAAACATAAATTAAGATATTTTCTAATTTGGCTTTCAATGTACCTACACACCTTCGTAATCAATCGTATTAAATTTGAATCAGCTTCAATGGGCCAATCTTTTGATGATAATAGTGTTTGTTGAGTTACAAAATCAATTAAATCCTTGTGCATAGTATCATCCAATTGTGAAAATGTTTCAATTAAAATACGAACAGATGCATTTGCTAAAAAGATAAAATAAACAATATGTAGTAATCACTTTTTTATATCGTTTCTGACAGAGAAACTGCCTTACCATAAACAGCAACGGAACCAAATCGTATATCATTTATGACAATAGACGTTGTATGAAGAATTTTTTTTAACCAATTAGTAACCAAGTGATCTGGTAATAGATTTGATGATGTAAAATCATCGGATAACGAACGAAGAACGGTCACAAATGCACTGAAAATAGAAAATATTTCTGTGTATTAATATGCGAAAATTTCACAAGCATTACTAAGTATGTTTTCACTTACCGATAGAGTGCTGCAATTTTATCCGTTAATGTCGCAAAATTTTCTTCATTATATCGTGTAAGAGTTGATGTAGAACATAACTGATCATATTGCTTAAATAAGTAATCATCCGTCATTCATATATCATCATCTTTCTCTTCTCACTTACTTGAGCATAACTATCCGCATCATCAATAAAATTATTCAACAGCGGTAATGTTGTTGATTCAATTTGTTCAAGCCAAAATAGACGAAATTTATTTAATGCTTTTGATGTAAAATCTAGAATTCGATCGGTTGGATATGGTTCAATATACCATCCAATGAGTATATCAACAATGTCCTATAAAAAATTTTAAAAAATCTAGAACTTTACATAACAATTTGCCTTCAGACATACAACAAATATTGTTTGAAATGTTAGCGGATAGATTTTAGCTAAATCAATTATTGTTTCTGTTATAATTATCATTAACGGTGCACTTGAAACAGATTCTAAAATCTTTTTTAACATTCCGCTAATTTTTTGAATATCTTTTGATAAACAATGTATTTGTTCCTCATTTCCTATAGATCTAAAGAAGATAGACAGTTTCAAGTTAATATTTTTTCATAGAATAAATATTCTTTTAGTTTATTCATCAGAACACACTTACATATGCAATGAACCAACTAAGTATTGTCGAAATGTATCATTTTTCTTCACTTCATTAAGACGTTCAAATATCCAATCGGCAAATCTTCAAAAACACGATATAGAGATATACAGTCATTTTATATAGATTCAGCTCTTACTTTGGATCGCCTTCGTTCATCATAACAAAACCAATTAGACCAATACAACGTGCAAGTTCTGGTCGTAGATCTTCATTTAAACTAAAGAAATAATAATGTTTCATCCATCCATCTATTTCTTCTATAAATGTATTGCTTACCGATCTTGAAACTGATGATACAATAAATTAAGAGCTGGACGAGCTAATTTCAGAATAAACTAGAAAAAAAAAGAATTATGATTATGTATATTAGTTAACTAAGTTCTTTTACCTTAGTATTATCTGGTTTATCTAAATAATTTTGAAATTCTTGAAGTCGTTGTGCACGACTATCAATTGATCCATCATCACGAAGTAATTTCTTTATTAAACGTGCAAATTTTGACTCATCATTTAAAATTATTTGATGATCTTCAGATAAATTAATATCGTCGTCATTTATCGAAGCGATCTGTGGTGCTTTAGAGCCGTAATACGAATTATGACGATTTCCACGGTATGCCATGGCTTTGATCTAATTAAATAATCTAAAAGAACAGAAGAAAATGCCCGATAAGGCGATACTGTATCTGGAAAGGGAATATGAAATGTATAGGCTTATAGCTGATAAAAAAACATTGTAGATTATTTAAAAATTTCATTTTTCCCTTTGCTTAAATAAAACTGGTCATCTTGGCTAAAATTCTCTGCGAAAAGCGCATACAAGTTGCTCTTCTAAAGAGAGTATAAGTATTCTAGTACGCTTTGACATGAAATGTGTTCTGCAAATGTCCTGGCTTCTTCTCCTTTAATTTTTTCAGTAAGATCTTGATGAGAAAACGTCAAAATTTAAGAAATTTCTAGGAAAGGTCTTGGACATGTCGAAGCCTGTTGACTTCTCGTACTAAGGTTTTATTGATTCTTGAAGAACAGTTTTGTTTGACACTCTTATTGACGTATGAGCGTAATTAGAATAACTTCATATAAAATCTTGACCAAGATCTGGGTTATATGAAATTTCACCATGAATATGGGTATTGTTTGAAAAGTGCTACAACCGTAACTCAAGATTCATCAAAATAATTATCTGGCTAGAGCACAGCAAGAAAGCTTAGTCATATTGATCAGATACTTTTTTTGAGCCTGGAGAATCTATCTGAACTAGAATGCAGAAAAAAAAACGTAATCATAAGCTTTATTTTCTTTCTTCACTGCAGATATTTTTGTGTGGTTAGAAGTAGCCCAATCATCATTTGTTTAAAAAGGAAGTATATAGTAGCGATCTTCCACTTTTGGGGGGATGAAATGAACACATTTCTTGACTAGGTTTGTCCGATTGCATATTCATAAGAAAGTATTCTAGATGGAAAATAGTTTCGCAGTAAATACTTAATGTAGAAACGATTTCTGTTTTTCTAACCCTGCTGAGAGAACATGTAATATATTTGTCTCTGTTTGTATGAATTAAACATTGATATGCTTATATTAACGTCTAAAAGATAAAGTTATATTATTCAGCAGACGACTAGGAACGAAACCTTAATACGAGATTTGCAGCTGAAAAGGTTAAGTAAACTGGAACTGGATGACTACTTAAGGAGGTTCCCCTCACGAAAAAACTTTTTTATCTTACATCGATTTCGATGGTGCTTACAGTGACTACTGCTTATTGTCCAACTAGCTTATGCTAAAAATTCGAGATCGAGTTTCCACTATTCTTTGCACAGAAAACGAAATTCAAAAATCGCTACAGACAAAATTTAGATAAATGTCTTAGCTTCAAAATAAAAGAAGAATGAAGATTTTACGATGAATCGTCTAGGAGAATTAGTCATTTTGCTGCGCCAAAATCATATTCTAAGCAACGACGTCATCACTTCATTAATTATAATTCAGCGCCTTTAACAAGACTGATATAACTCTGCAAGACGAAGTCGTACAAACCTGTGGGACATCTCATTTTGATCAGAACACTCTACCCAACATAGTTTCATGTCTGTTAAAACGAAAAATCTTAAGAATTTTAATTGACAATGAATTATATTATTTGATTTTTTACTTTCACAATAAATATCACACATATATACAGGAAAAATACTTCATAAGTTGGCATACTTAACTTCAGTCGAGAGTAATAGACAATTTGAACTCTTCAGATTGTGGAATCAGAAGACCAGCACTAACGTATGAGAGAAATAAGGAGAATTGTCAATTCTTCAGATTTTTTGAAATTTTTTTCCAATTTCAAGCTCTTTTCCAAACTTCTTATAACTCTTGAATTTGTTTCGATTTCAGATCTGTTTTAAGACTTCAATTTTTTCTGTTCAGAAACATATCATCTTCCCTATTCAACCTGTGTTCCTCGAATAAAAAATACTTTTAGTTTCTTATGCAAAAAATGAATATGTGAATTTCATGTTTGAATTTTTCTTCTCGTATTCAGCTAAAAGTACATAGTGAAGATATGCGGTACAGGTTTCTATCTAGGGTAGTTCTTCCAAGCTCATGTGATGAACTTTTCTAAATTGATCCAGCCTCGTGTGGCTAAAAAAAGAAAAGAAAACATAGAGAAGGCAAAAGAAAGCATTTAGAGATTACTAAAGAGACGAAACTGACTTTTTTATTTCATTAGAGCCGCCAGTAAATGAGCTTTAAAAATACGTATCACTTTTTTTTTGCTTTATTACTGAGAAAATTCATTTTTTCTAAATTAGAAGCGAAGAAATCAAAAATCTGCCCATACTTTTCAATTTTCTCCATCAGAGCTTACCTTTTATGCAATATAAATAACACAT